CGTGGGGTGATGGATTGGGGGTTCTTATACGGGGTTGGGGGTTCAATCTTGGCCGTTGGATCAATTAAGATCAGTGGCCAAGATTAAGGGAACTAAATAATACGGCGTCATTTGGTTTTAGCCAGGGGTCGGTTTGAACCGGAGACAAATGAGTCGGGTTGGAGACGGGTTGCTGAAAGGGATCTTGGACCGTTGGATTGGATTGGATGGACGGCTCAGATCAAATGGCCTATGCGGCATCGTTTGGGGGGCGTCTCTGGAAGACCTGGTTTGGACTAGGTCAATGTAATTGGTTTGGGCCTGAATTTTTGGTTTCATCTGGCCAAATCCGAGTTTCCTTGATACTTCACCCATTTTCCTTCTTTCTTTAATTATTAAACAAAAATCCTAAATAAATTGTAAAATCAAAAAATAAAATTACACACATATTATTTAACACCTATAATAATTAACACACAAATTAAAAATAAAATCACACAATGACAAGAAATACACATGCATATTTTTTGTGATTTTCCTTTAACCAAATTATGGTTAATTAATTCCTAAATGTACCATTAATTCCTAAATGCATGCAACATGTATTTTTTGTATTTTTAACTATAGCAAGGCAAGCATTTACGGACAGAACAATTATCAAAATGTCACGCAAATTCTCAAAATTGTACCCGAAGGTAACTTGTTTTACTTTTTCGATTTCTTTTGGAGTAGTTTCCGTGAAGCAAAAATCACGTGCTCACAAATTTCATAAAAAAACTCTTTTCGGACTGCAAACAGAAAATTTACGAAGTTGACACGACTGCAGTGAACTTCCAGATTCACATGAATCATGTATTCCACACATTTTTTTGAAGCTTATGCGACTGAACTTAAAATAAAACTCTAAGCTGCCTACGTACCTCGGTGAAGAGGATCAAGTCATAAAGTAGTTCAAAATAGGTGAGATTTTGTTTTTTTGTGTCCTAACTTTTTGCCTAGGCCGCCTCTTTCGAGGTTTTCGACCTAGCGGACTCCCTTTTTTTTGGGTGTCGTTCGCAGTTTAGGCTCATGCGGGCCAGGAGCATTGCAATATGCAGTTTAGATTCTTGTGTCAAGGAGCTTAGCAGCATGCAGTTTAGGCTCGTGCATTAAGGAGCTTTATGACTTGCAGTTTAGGCTCGTGCATCGAGGAGCATAGCAGCATGCAGTTTAGGCTCGTGCATTAAGGAGCTTCATGACTTGCAGTTTAGGCTCGTGCATTAAGGAGCTTCATGACTTGCAGTTTAGGCTTGTGCGTCGAGGAGCGTAGCAGCATGCAATTTAGGCTCGTGCATTAAGGAGCTTAATGACTTGCAGTTTAGGCTCGTGCGTCGAGGAGCATTTATTCTTCAAGGATAGTACCTCTTCAAAAACTTCCCATTGATAGGGCCAATTCTCATGCCATCTGCATCAACTAACTTGTAAGCTCCACTTGAATAGGCTTCTTGCACAACATATGGACCATCCTACTTTGAAGTGAATTTGCCCCCAGATTTGCGAGAGGTGATAATAGGTCTTCTCACTGCAAGAACTTGATCGCCAACTTGGAAGGACCTCAAGCGAACCTTTTTGTTGAAAGCACGAGAAGGACGAGCTTGATAACATTCAAGACTTTGTTGAGCTTCTAGCCTTTTTTCATCAAGGGACTCAAGTTCTTCAAGGCGCAGGCGAGCGTTTTCTTCCTCAGTAAAACCTTCTTGGACAGCGAGTCACAAGGACGGTATTTGCCGCTCAAGAGGAAGAACTGCTTCGACTCCATAAACAAGAGAATAAGGAGTTGCTTGTGTCGGCGTGCGATGAGTCGTACGATATGCCCACAAAGCTTCTTCCATTCTGTCATGCCAATCTCTTTTAGACTTGGAGACGACCTTCTTTAACAAGTTGCAAAGCGTCTTGTTAAATGCTTCGGCTAGTCCATTTGAAGCAACATAATACATTGACGAATTACGTTGCTTGAAGCCAAAAAGTTCACAGACCTTGGTCATCAATTTGTTATCGAATGGTTTGTCGTTATCTGTTATTATATAACTAGGAATGCCGAAATGATATATGATGTTCACTCGAATGAAGTTTGCAACATTCTCTTTCTTCACTTCCTTGAGAGCGACGACCTCTGCCCATTTTGAGAAATAATCAGTTGCGGCCAAGATGTATAGATGTCCTCCAGAAGATTTTGGAAGTGGTCCAACAATATCTAATCCCCAAGCATCAAATGGCCAAGATGCAACAGTAGGGTGTAATATTTCAGGAGGTTGGTGTATAAAATTTGTGTGAAACTGGAAAGCCTTGCATCTTCGAGAAAATCTAAGCAATCTTTCACCATTGTCGGCCAGTAGTAACCCATCCTCTTAATGTGGAAGTGTAGCTTTGGCCCGGATTGATGTGATCCACAAACTCCAGAGTGTGTCTGTTGCATAGCTTGAGTTGCTTCATCTTCCCCTAAACAATGCAAGAGAATTCCTTCAAATGATCTTCGATACAAAGTGTCTTTGTAGTAAAGGAAGCGAGGGGCACGCCGACGAATTTCAGTCTTTCTTCTTGGATCTTCTGGAAGTATCCCATAACATAAGTAGTCGATCATGGTTTGTCGCCAATCAACCTTCACAGTTTCAACGACGACTACCAAACGCTCGAGCTTGCTTTCTTCATCCTCGTTCTCATCTGGCGGCATTATCCATTTTTGGAAGATAGTGATTTGTGTCTGGCCGAGAAAAGCCAATGTTGAAGCTAGAGTAGCTAGGGCGTCAGCCTTCTTATTTTCCTTCCTTGGCACATGCTGAAGAGTTACATTGCCAAGCCATCCAATCAATTTCTGTGCATAATCATAATAACGACGCAACACTGGCTTTTTGACCTCGTAGCTACCTAGCAATTGATTGATCACTAACTCAGAGTCTCCAAAAATATGTAATTGGAGTTGTCTCGTTTCAACGGCCATCTCAAACCCAAGTATGAGTGATTGATATTCCGCAACGTTGTTGGTGCAATGTTGTGTTAAGGTGAAGGAATATGACAAGACTTCCCCTTGAGAAGTGACAAACACAACACCTGCACCAGCTCCCTCACGATGTGCGGCACCATCAAAATACATTTTCCACGGTGGTTGCACTTCGATGACCATCACATCCTCATCAGGTAGTTCATCAGTCAACTTCCAATCATCAGGAATTGGATGATCTGCCAAGAAATCTGTCAAAACTTGTCCTTTCACAGCTTTTTGTGGGATATCACAATCTCGAATTGTTGAAATTGGAGATACCACCTTGCTAATCGATCATTGAGGACGGGTTTTGACATAACAAACTTGATCGGGTTCACCCTTGAGACGAGACAGATGACATGATCTTGAAAGTAGTGCTTCAGCTTTTGAATTGTGAAAACCAACGCCAAACACAACTTTTCGATCGGAGAATACTTTAGCTCATTTGGGGTTATCATCCTACTCAAGTAGTAGAGGGAATTTTCTTTATTTTCACCATTTTCCTGGGCCAAAAGGGCTCCCACTGACCTTTCTTGGGCTGCAATATATAGAATCAATGGCTTTCCTGGTATAGGGGCTGCCAGAACTGGAGGTTTCATCAAGTAGGATTTGATGCTTTGGAATGCATTGCTACAAGCTTGGTCCCATTCAAAAGGTATACCCTTCTTCATGAGCCGGCTAAAAGGTTGGCACTTCCCTGCTAGATTTGAGATGAATCTTCTAAGGTACACCAATTTTCCTTGTAGACTTTTTAGTTCATGTATATTTTTGGGCTCGGACATCTTAAAGATGGCATCAACTTTGGCTTGATCTATCTCAATCCCTCGATGTCGAACAATGAAGCCAAGGAATTTTCCAAAAGTAACTCCAAAGGCACATTTCAACGGGTTCATTCTGAGTTGATATCGTCAGAGTCATTCGAACACCATTCTTAAGCCTTGTAAGTGGTCTCCTCTCTTTCTTGATTTCACCACTAAATCATCCACATAGCATTCCACATTTTTGTGGAGGATGTCGTCAAAGATAATCTGCATTGCCCTTTGATATGTGGCGCCAACATTCTTCAAGCCAAAAGGCATTACTTTGTAGCAATAAATGCCTTTAGGAGTGCGAAACGCAGTAAGCTCTTCATCTTCTGGTGCCATACGTATTTGATTGTAGCCAGATGATCCATCCATGAAAGACATCGTCTCATATCCGGTGGTGGCATCAATCATAAGCTCTGGAATGGGGAGCGGAAATTCGTCCTTAGGGCATGCATTATTGAGGTCTCTAAAATCGACACAAACTCGAATTTGGCCATTCTTCTTCTTCACAGGAATAATGCTTGAAATCCATGAAGGATATTTAACCTCCCGAATGAAACCAGCTTTGATGAGTTTATTGACCTCGGCTTCGATTGATGGTATCAATTCTGGCTTGAAGCATCTTTGGGCTTGCTTAACAAGACGAGCTCCTTTCTTGACTGCGAGATGATGAACTGCTACCTTAGGATCTAAACCAGGCATCTTTTTGTAGCTCTAAGCAAAGACATCTCTATATTCTTTGAGTAGCTCCACATAAGTGTTTTCTTCATCTATGGTTAATAGAGCACTTACATAGGTGGGCCTGGAGTCTTCTACAGTGCCAAGGTTGACTTCTTTCAATGCATCAACAGTCATTTTAATTCATTCTTCTAGTTCCGCAGGAGCATCCTAGACATTTTCGTCTTTTTGAGGATCACCATCATTAAAAGATATATGGCCACACCAAGAGGCATCTCCCAAATATTTGGCAAATTTCCTTAGGGATGAAGTGTATTGCTCCTCATTCGTAGTAATGTGATATGAAGACCCTATACTTTCTTCATCTTTGTCACGCTCTCTAGTGTGGACCACCGTGCGAGTCTTCACTTTGAGTACCTCTCCGCATGAAATCAAAAGTTTTGATTGTCGCCTCATTCTGGAAGTGACCAGGCTTTGACACTCTTTGGAGATATTTTGGACTCTAGATGGCAAATGTCTTCTTATTTTTTCATAATTTCTTTGGGACTTATTCTTCTTCCTTTTCAATGGCCCCAACCTCTCAAATACAGAAGTTCTTGTAGTTGGTTCTCCAAGTCGATCAAAGACAGAAGGCCTTTTATTAGGATCAGCGGTTTTATCTTTCGTCGTGATATAGTTAATACTTGCTCTTCTAATGGAGATGCGAACTGGTGGGAGTTGTTTGTAACCTAGACCCTCACGTGATTGCTTCACCACATGTTCATTATCCTTCATCGTGTTTGTTTTCCTAGTAGTTTCAGGTGGGAGCTTCCCTAACTTAGATGGTTCATTGGGATCATATCTAGCCTTTGTGAACAACCTGTAAGCATTCGGATCAAAACCTTCATTTGTGCATTTCATAGAGAGTGCCTTATTTTGAGGCATGTTAGGGGCCACAAAATTTTCCAGTAGCTTTGAAGATAACTTTATGGTATCAATCTGCTTGATAGGAGGGGTTAATTCTCTTAGCGCACCTTTTTGGAGGCTTGATGATTCTCCTTCATCTTTCTTCACTTTTGGGACGTAACGAAATAAAGGAGCTATTTTCATGCCTTTGGCCTTCGTGATGTCATCAACTTTTACTCCCTTCATGATGTGGTTCTTCAAGTAGAACTTTGCATCAGCGAAGTATGCCTCGGCTTCAGAGAACGGCTTGTCATCAGCAACTATCTTATTTTCGACTCCATCTTTATTATATTTCAAACATTGGTAATAAGTTGATGGGACAACTTTGTTCTCATGTATCCACGACCTGCCAAGCAACAAATTGTATGAAGTCTTTGCATCGATCACATGCATCCATGCAGTTGATTGCATATCTCCCATGGTGATTTCCAGCTTGATAGCTCTTATGGCCCTTTGTCCTCCTTGATTGAATTCTTGAATCATCAGTCGACTTTTAGAAAGTTTTTCAGTTGAGATGCCGAGTTCTTTCATTATGCGAATGGGAAGAATGTTAACTGTAGATCCGTCATCTATCAAGATTCTATTTATCCTCCTCTCGAGCACATAACCCACCATAAACAAAGGACGATTGTGTGGTGTCTCACCAAGTAGGAGATCGTTTTTAGTGAAGGTGATTTTTGTATTACAGACATGTGCTTCTTGAAAGGAGGACTCAACAAGACTATTAGACAGTGATGATGAGAGTGTTGACTTGACTTCATTCTTTTCCTCTTCTTCTTTATCAGCATTACAGCACAAGGCCTTGTCATCATCGTCAGAAATCCTCATGCGAAACCAACTCGGAAAAAATTCTCCCAAAGTCACCGGGTGGCGTGGCTTTTGGTGATGGTGTGCCTCTATCTCCTCTTTCTTTGGGTTCTTAACAATTTGTAGCTTCTTTAGTCCTCTCACTNATCCTCCTTCTCTGGTTTCTTAACAATTTGTAGCTTTTTTAGTCTTCTCACCATCTTATTCCTCGTAGGTTGCTTCGTTGATCCTTTTTGCAGACTCAATTTATGGCGTCTTCGACGAGTCACCAGGGTCCATCCTTCTTCATCAGGTTGATCAACTCGTACTTTGTCATCCTCCAAAAATTCTTCATCTTCATTCCCTTCACAGGTGCATATCTCAATTGGATCGAATGAGCCAAAGGTAATGGACACATGGTTTGTGCTTGCTTTTTCGACTTCGAGCTCGATCTTCTTTTGACGAGCCAAATCCATAACTTTGACCTTGAAAACAAAGCACTTCTCAAGAGGGTGACCTACAAGCCGATGGTATTTGCAGTAATTCGGGTCATTGCGTTTTCTAGCTTTATTTGGTCACTTCATCTCTGACAGCTCAATAAGCTTTAACTCGAGGAGTTCTTCAAATATTGCAGGCACATCGGAGTCTAGAAATGGGTACTCCTTTTCTTGCATCTCTCTGAGAGTCAACTTCCGATTTGCATTGTCTTGAGAGGAAGTTGTTTTTATACTTTGTTTCTTGCTCGCCTTGGTAGTAAACTTCAAAGGAGAGGCATTGACATTCATGGATTATTTGCTTTCATTTTTTTGGTACGAACTTGCTCCATTTCTTGACTTCTTGCTTATATCTTCCCTTGCGAGGTTCGTAGATGGGCAGCCCTTCGTTTCCCGCAGAAGCCATGCTCAACTCCATATCATGAGCACGGGTGGCAAGTTCTTCAAATGTCCTAGGCTTAATTCCTTGCAAGATGTAACGAAGTCCCCAATGCATTCCTTGGATGCACATCTCTATGCCAGAAGCTTCGCTTAGCCTATATTTGCAGTTAAGGCTTGCATTCCTCCATCGATTGATAAAGTCAATAACTGGTTCATCTTTTCATTGGCGAGTGTTTGTAAGTTCTACCATGCTCACAGTACGCCTCGTGCTATAAAAGCGATTAAGAAACTCTTGCTCCAATTGGTCCCAACTATCAATAGATCCAGCCTCAAGGTCGGTGTACCAATCAAAAACATTCCCCTTTAGTGAGCGAACGAACTGCTTGACAAGGTAATCTCCATAAGTCCCTGCATTGTTGCATGTCTCAACAAAGTGCGCAACTTGTTGCTTTGGATTTCCCTTGTCGTCGAACTGTTAAAATTTGGGAGGTTGATAGCCGCCAGACATCTTCAGGATATCGATTCTTGCAGTATACGGCTTTGCGTACGCGAGAGAAGACTTTGAAGCGACATCATACTTATCCTTGATAGTTCCCATAATGAATTCCTTCAATTGTTCTATGGGAATTGATCCTTCAGAGGAGACATGAAGTTCTTTGGCGGATGACACTTGTTTTGTTGGAGGATCAGCCTTCTCGTGGACTTCAGGAAGCTTTCCAGGTGCATGACTTTATTCTCCATCCATCATGCTTTCAACTATGCCTGTCAATTTTACGATACGGACATCTTGATCTTGAGCATATTTTGTTAACCCATCAATTGCCTTTGTCAGGTTTACAAGTTGCTCCTCCATTGTTGAAGTGTTAGTCATCATTGCCTCCATGATTATTGCAGATGATGAAGAATAACCGAGACCTTCCCACAGATTGAACTCAGTTTGGAACATGACATATGGTGAGATTGGCGTAGAGCCAACACATAAGACTTAATCATCAGGTTGGGTAAACTGACTCTTGGTATTGTATAAAGTAAGTTGAGCAAAAGCTTTCTCCGCAACTTCTGCAATATTATCTCTTCTCTCTGACTTGCTAGCAGAGGACCTTTCTTCTTCGAATGATGAAGATCTCAAAGTATGCATTGGTGCAGACGACACTTGGAGTGCTTGTTGCCCCTAGACGCTCGCCTTGCTCCAGGTGATTGGCCCAAGACTCCCCATAGTAACGTTCAGGATACTTTCAACGTCAGAAGAAAACTTGGAGTCAGCAACTTCGATCTTCTTTGAAGCCATCTTAGTGATCTTGAATATTGAGAGTTTAGAAGAGATGAGAGGTAGAGATGGTCCCACTTTCCGTGCCAAAATTTGTGACAACTAAATTTCGCTCCTGAAAAATAATAATCAAGACAAGAAATATAGCGACAAATATTATATTCAATTTCAAGTGATGGGGTTATAGTCTCTAAAATATCTCTGAATCTAAAGAGATGTAGTCATCTGATTCTTCTCCTCATGGATGATGGTTCAAGAGCTTGAAAGCTTGATTTTGAATTTGACGGATTTCAGATTTGTAGTACGTCACGAACAATTTGAAGCTCATCACGAACCGGGATTTGATGTTGGGTTATCACGAACGGAAGATTTGAAGTCGTCCGCCTATGACTTGAGTTCGCCTTTGGAATTTGACCACAGAAGACGATTGCAGATATGGATGAAGACCTTGATGCTATTCTTCAGAGCTTCTTTAGCCTTTCCTTCTGCTTACTTGATTGTTCTTTAGCCTTCTCCTTTGACCCCTTTATATAGGT